CATTCTGGCATTTAGAGCATGATGGGGCTTTCTAGAATATCAACTTGGCGTGCTACTATTGGTCAGTAGCATGAAATATGTCTTTTAGCGGATTGTCCAAAATATGATGTTGATTTAACAAATATTAACATCTATAAATACCCGTGTTTTTCTGTACAAAAATGAATCTTTGGAGTAAAGTATTTCTCGCTTATTTCACTCCTTTTTTCTGGAGTTCAGGCCGCTGCGTAGTTCTAGCTTGCGGGTTACTAGAATGGCTTAGGAACCGAATAAAGCGTTCAAATTAACAAGACTTATCAGTTCCAACAACATATTCAATTAAAACTGTAATTTACCCTATATGGTAAATTTAAAGTGATATATTGTTATTTATGGGGTTATTCAGTCGAATGTAAATACCAACTGTGATATTCTATTTATACATAAAGATACTTTCAAGTTTTCATACTTATAATGATAATACACTAATTTCATAATTTAAAAAAAAAATACAAAACAGGGACAGTACACTATTATTTCTCTAGAATGTTTAAATAAGCTGAAACTAGGTAAAACAATGTAGTTTATATCTGATATCATTTAGATTGATTATATTTTCTGTATGTTAGATAATTTTTTCTTATTTCTAGCTGGATATATTGAAAACAACGGTGAGCTTCACTGTGCATAATTGTAAGTAATGCATTATCAAACTTAATCAAAAATAAAACAGTATGGCTAAATCATTTGACATCTATAAACTGATAATTAAACACAGATTTTTGTGTTCCATGTAAGAAAGATTAAGTGAGCAAGCATAAATTATTTGATACTTATACATAAATAATGTTGAAGAAGACGTGTTTATTTGAAATTTGAAATCCTTGGACGTATTTGTTTATACTGCATAGTTATTTGTTTTACATTTCTCCAGTGACTGTAACGTGAATGACATGAATAAATCTTTAAGACTTTGATACTTATACGATACAAGTGAACACAAAAGTAAATTGTCGTTTAGGCAAATTGATAATTAATTTCTAGTTCTAAAAAAAAATGAAATTCACCGAAAGGATTCCTTTTTCAAGAAATATATTATCAAGCTGTACATACATGAAATTTCAAGGAATAATTTCTTGTGAGAATATGAAAAATGGATAGAAATGGTGATGTAATAAATATGATTTAATATTAGGTCATATAATGTGAATAGCAATAACAAAAGGTTTTGTAACTTCTAAAAGATGTGTGCAATTAAAAGAAACATGTAGTACTTAACAATTTAATATTAATTTCAATGGTTAAGATCATGAGTCAGTTGAAGCTAGACCATCATAGAAAACCTGAAAGCACTGGACGGCCGTTTCGTTCTATTGTGGGACTCCTCAGCAATGCGCATCTACGACCTCACCCCCTGCGAGATTCGAACCCAGGACCTACTGGTTTCGTGCACAAGCACTTAGCCACTAGACCAATGAGTCGGCATCCAAAGGTGTTAATGTCTAACTTCAACTAATTCACGAAATTGAGCGACACATCCATCATTGTCTTCAGTGAGTTACTATCTCACAACAGACCTGGTTGAACTCTACTGATCACTACTTCTTACTAGAACTTCAGGATATACCTCTTGAAGCCAATCACTGGCGAGCATATATTGATTAATATCTGATGGGTTTTGTGGATATCATAGTAATTTAATGATTAAGATCATGAGTTAGTTGAAGCTAGACCACCATGGAAAACCTGGAAATTACTATAATATGCACAAAACCCATGTGAATTCAAGGTTAGATTAGAGTGTGAATGAAATAAGTCTAAATGTTTTTGTTATGTAAATTAAAAATTAGTAATAGAATTCTATTCAAACAAAAATCTAGTCACTAGTTTTATTGCTTTGGCCACAAAACTAATAACGTTAACAATAATACTGTTGACATTAATTTAAAACAAAGTTTTAGAGATAGATAATGTGAACTTCAATAGCTATTTAGTAAATGCATAATTTTTCATAAATATTGTTTAGATATTTGTTATCTAAGTACATTTGTTTTAGTTATTGTTTAACTGAAACACATTAAATCAAGTGGAACTGATAACTTTAATTGATCTGACGTATTAGTCAACCATAAAATTGTCAATATTTTGTGATTACATGAAGTAAAACTGATTAAATTGTAAAACACATTCATCTGAAAGAAATATAAACGAAAAGTCATGTAGTCATGATATTCTGATTTAGAAGAATGGTTCATCTATTGGATTATAAGTTGTACTGATTTCAAGAGTAAGAAAGTCAAATATACAAAAACATTTTTGTACAAATTTCAAATTCAGTAATCTACTTGTTATGTTCATTTATTCTATGATTGATCCAAATTAAAAGGTTTGTTTATTTGGAATCCTTTAGTATTTAGTAGTTGTATTGACCATTTATTAAAATTATCACGAGTTTATTCAATTATATTATTATGTTTGTAAATCAAAGCTAATTAACCTGGTAATTGTGTTCGACATTTGTAGGTTAAACTTTTGATTTCGCTTGACCTGTTTAACTTAGCGTAACCAAAGAATAATTGGACTATTAGTATCAAATATTACTAACAATTTAATGCATTCACTTTTATGTGGTTACTGAAATGCTTTGTTCATCTGAATCGGATTTAGAATTCATTCAAATAAAACTGTTTATTTTCAATATTAAATCATTAAATAGTTTTGGTTTTATGCTGTTATTATTAAAAAAAAAACACAATTACTTATCTGAATCTTTTTAATGAAGTACTTACTGGTTCCTTTGTTACACAATTTTTAAATATCACGTTTTGAGACAAGTTTAAAAGAAATCAATAATTCCGTGATCAACCCTAGGAATAGTAGTTTAAAAACCCGGCAGATTGAATGGCACATGAAATTGTATATCACATTTGAAGTTAAAAAGAATATGAAATAAGAGTAACCAATATTTTTGTGAATATAAGACAGTTTCTTTTATTATGTTCAACATTCTAATTGGCTTCGTGAATTTTCTAACAGTCACTTAAATGAAAATTACACACTTTTATGAATTATCTAAAGTTGGAAACATATCTCTTTTAGTACTAACTCATTGCCTTAACGTTACCTCACTTCCTGCAAAGTTTGAATACCTTAATATGATCTATTACTGTAGTTCAATTTATATTAGTATCAGTGATCTGTGATAATATAAACTGTATTGTAGTGATTTAAAATCTGTGTTTATTAGAAAGTCCTATCATCTTGGTGGAGTTTTGTTCTCTGAAGTTTGTGCTGATGATGTTGTTCAGAAGAACGGTGAAAGCTCCACGGCCAAACCATCCAGCTCAGAGAACGAAACTCCACCAAAATCATCCACCTGAGCTACAAATCTTCTTCACCATCTCAAAGTCCTATCATCTGATACTAATGCCAAAACTTGAACTATACACATCCTTGTAGACACACATTTATTTACCAACAATTAAAAAGTCAATTGTTAAGTTGGAATTCCAAAATCAGAAAATGGAAGACATTTCAATCATTATTCTTTATATTTAAAGGATAGTATCATAATAATAATAATAGGATGTTAGTATAACTTGATAATCTATCAAACTTGATTCAGCCTTAAATAAAGGTTTATACTTTCTCATATTTCATTTAACATAAATACCTGATCGTTAATTATAAAGATCATAACTGGAAAATGTAGTTACAAAATAATTTATTGTATATCCTCTTGAAAAGTATTTATTTCCTAAAAACACAATTAAGAAAGATGAATAAATGAAAGAATTTAGAAATTACATTTAATTCTCTGAACTGAATGGTTTGGTCGTACTAATGACACGACCAAACTATCCAGCTCAGAAAACAAAACTCCATCAAAATCATCCACTTGAGCAACAAATCTCCATCATAGAAAATTTCTATTTTCAAAGTTTGCCTCATGTAATTAATTATCAAAATATTAACATTTGACATCTAATTTTGTTAAGTAAAATGTGACAAGAATAAATGATATACACTTTGTCTAATCCATTTTCTAAAACGACTGAATCAAACTTTATTAAATTGCTTCCAATTGAACATATAAACTTAAAAGAAACGTCTCAGTCTTAAGAGATAAATATAAACAATTTATTCTAAGCAAACATAGACAGTAGCTAGCAGTGGAATCAAGGATGCACGTTTCGTTTTATTTGAGATTCGTCAGCTGGATATACCCACATCTCAGAAGTTTATGTTCACTCTGGAACTCGAACTCAATACCGTTCGCTTCAAACGTTATCACGTTATCTACTTAGCGACTTAGTCCTGATAGCCGCTTGCTTGTGCAGTGGAGTAAAGTTGAAATTGACGTGGTATTGTTTAACATGAATCTTCCCAGTGATGTTTAGGACTGCAATTGATCAGTCTGTTTTTGGTATATGTGCATACTGTGCGTATTACCTCGATATTACCTTAATTGACAAGTAGTACGTAAGATATGCATATATGCCAGGAACAGACTAATCAGTTGCAGTCTTAAACATCAATGAGAAGATTCATGTAAAACGATACCAAGTGAATATAAACAAGTTAACTAGAATATAGAATCCATTATGGATTTATTTTTGAGTATTATTCGTTTTTTATAATTTTACTCATTAAAAACTCAGCTTTGAATAGTTTATCCGATTCAAAGATATCTATTCCATAAGCTAGCAAAAACTGGATAGCCGATGCTAACAAGGGATCACTGATCAACTTCATCCTGATTTGGAACTACTGAATTGTTCATGTCAATAACTTCAGATAGATTTCAATTCAGTGGATCAGATCTCATAAACTCCTTGACACGTCTTTATTGGTTGATTGAATTCCAATAATTCCAGCTGAATTCAGTGTGAACCAGTGGTTTTTCATGTCTGATTTTAATCTATCTTCATTGGAACCAGTATTTCTAATTACTCACTTTCATGTTTCAAGATTGGGTCTGTCTGACATATTAGATAAAACGTGCAACGACATTGGAAGTAATGGAAATAAAACCATATGATACGATAGAACTATTACATTCATCATCATCATCATCATCATCATCATCATCATCATCATCATCATCATCATCATCATCATCATCATCATCATCATCATCATCATCATCATCATCATCATCATCATCATCATCATCATCATCATCATCATCATCATCATCATCATCATCATCATCATCATCATCATCATCATCATCATCATCATCATCATCATCATCATCATCATCATCGACCTTTTGTAACCGAATAGATGAAATTCAGCCTGGAATTATTTGCTGAATATAAAAGCTCTATCGTATCATCTAAACAATGAAGAGCTGACAGAAGTTGACTTTGCCATGAATGCATATAAACTGAGAAACTATCAAAAACTACAGAAGATTGATCAACTATCTCAACCCCTGGTGACATCCCAAAAGCACACTTCCTATAAGTTTGATATATCCGATGCATCCCGGTTTCTGCTCATTTTTGAGTTATTATCAATCGATCGGGATAAAAAAGTTTCAAACCACACTCATAAACGATATATAGGTTCTAGTTCTATAAAACTTCTAATCAAAGTATTTTAAAGAGAAACATAGTGAAGTCTTCATTTGCAACTAGCTCTCCATTACTGTCTTCGGATACTATATAGATTAGAAAAGTATAACATAATATACTCCAAACCTGTTACCTCCCTATTACCAAATAAATATCGTTAATATTTATTTCTTTATAATTTTTGTAATCACTAAACGGTAACCAACCATTTAATACAACCTCTCAAGATTTTTATTAGTTACTATACAGCCTACCAAGTTCACAATAACTGTGAATTATTTATGAAATAATACTTTTAATAGTGACTATATTCAACTTACTGTTTGAATATCTTTTTTAATTCATACTCTTCTATTGTTTCGTCACTAGTAAAGATTTAAAATTATCTTGTTGTTAATAGTCAGGACAAAATGTTGATCACATTTTGCTCACACATTTATATTCAATGCGCTTTGCTTCCGTTTAGCTATTTTAAATCCAAGTTATTTATCAATAATGATATAAATATCAAACACACTGAACAATTCATGGTACTATTGTGGTGCGTGCTACTTATATTGATATAAGTAGTATGTGACGCGAGTCAGGAATGTAATGTCTGGCAGCAGAAGATGGGAAAGATGAAGAAAGTAAAAGCGGGAATAAAAAGCAATTAGTATGGAAATTCAAGAACAATGAAGTTCGAGACAATTATTAAACATTTTGTAAATTAAGTATTATAGTATGGTTTTCCTATTTTACCAAGTAACTCTGTGATTTCGTGTTAAATACAATTCGATTGTCCTCACCCGTGTTCTGTTCACTACACTATTAACAAATTTAGTAGTTTATGTGTGTTAATTCTTTCATAACTAATTATATAACTCTTATGAAGTTACCCGAAAAATGCATTTTTTCCTTTATCTATTTTGCGTTTAAACAACTTTAATAAGGTTATTTCATTAAAGGGAAAGGATGATGAATAATAAACAAAATATTCTTTAACTAATTTTTTTGTCAAGATTATTGAGTTTTTGATTGAGATCTTGAACCAATTGATGTTAGATCATCACAATTGAAAACCTGGAAGCACTGGACGGCCGTTTCGTCCTATTGTGGGACTCCTCAGCAGTGCGCTTTGTTTTAAAAATAAAATTAATTGCCGTAAAACTGCAAGAAAAAATGAATCTTAGCGTCACATGAATTTATCTTCTCTATAGTATGTATATCAGTTATACGATTTTATAAGTCTATTAGCTAATGTCTATAGAAAATAAACAGTAATGAATTAATGGTGAATAAATTAATAGCATCATAAATTCCTATTCATCTAAAATGGTCACAAAGACTGATCAACGAGAAGATTTAATTCTTAAAATAGAATAATCTCAATATAATGGTTTTAATATAATAAGTAGATTACGACATATAGTATCACAAATGACATTACATGATAACCGGTAAGAAAACTGAAATATTTTGTACAATGATCATACTTTTATACGCGACTATGCACGATTAGAGAGAATAACAACGACATATATAATTAGGAACATAGGATAAGATAATGAGAAGTAAGTTTAAAATCATTCTATCATTTATGAAAACATTTCAAATACATCATTTGCAAAAGTATTAAGATAGACCAAGTAAATTTTCTTCTGAATTAAAATACTCTTTTCGTCAGATTGGATATCGATAGCTCCAACAGTCAGTAGTAGATGTTTGAAAATTAAAAAGCAAAGTACTTGGATTTTTATAGATAAATCGAAATTCGAAAGGAGCCTTTAGGTTTATTAAAAAAAATGAAAACGTTTCAGCAGAGATAATTTTCTTTTCATCGAAATTCTTTTCTTAAACTGTGTAACTGTGTTAGGTAATTTTTACAATTTGTAACCTATAGACAAACAGATGAGGGTTGTAAAATCAATAAAACTAGTCAGACTCATTGAAGTATCGGGTGTGAAAAGTCAGTGAAAAGGAAGTAGTGGTGTATAATGTAATCAAGATTATAGTAATACTTTAGGAATTAAATATGATAACTAATAAACGGACGGATATTATTACAAAGTAACCAGAGTTGCTTGAAAATTATCAATACTGATATTTTATTTGATGTTGATCAAATAAAACAACGGGATTTTAAACTGCTTATTAAATTTTTATTTGGTTGCTCGTGGTAAATTAAGAAATCAATTTAATTGCTCTGTTTAAGTAGTTGAGCTTTTAATTAGGTATATTTTAGTTTAGACTTATATTAAAAGCTTAGTTATATGGTAACATAAATTTATCATACTTTTAGCTGACAATAAATTTGTTGACCAATCCACATACTTTCATTTTAAAACAGTTTTGTCCTTCTTGTACAAAAAGAAGTAATTTATGGTCTCTACGTTAATTGACCGAAAGTAGTACTGTTGTGTAAATCGTACAGTTAGTTAATATATACACTGACAGAGTATTTCTCAGGCAGTTACTTTCAAAAACTAAATTAACTGCGCAATATTACCATAGAATGGATAGAAAAAAAAGGATAACTTATCAGTAAAGTTAATGACTATTACAAGGAACATCACATATTTATGCTTAAAAATATTTAACAATGGAATGGGCATGAATGTATATGAAATAAAATATAATTCATAGCAGAATCCATTTTATACGTCATCCACAAGTCTATGAAATTAACAACAAATTATTAAATTTAATTCTTACCAAAAATTATTTCCCAGAATATATATCATATGCTGTACCTTAAGGTCTGAACGTCTGTAGTGGTTACAATCTGACTGAAAAACCTCTGTCTTCCCAAATCGCTGAAATATTTATTTCCCCAAATTTTGTAATTATCTAGAGGCTAGCTGTGACCTCTTTAAGAAAAACTTTCTAACGTTTAGAAAGAATATATGGAAAAAAACTTCATTGTAATCGAGTCGAATTAAATGAACATAGTCAATGTACTGGATGAAATACACTGAATATAGCAAATAAGTTAAATTTAAAAATATGAAGTTCAACATTATTACTTAGCAGTTCATAAATAAAACAGTCGTTCACCGCTTCCTGATTTTTAATAGTTAACTAGCCGAAGTAAGACAGTAATGTAAATTAAATTTAAACTTTAAGAGTTAAAGATTGAAATAAATCTATTTATATTCAAGCACATAAGTGTTAAAAGTAATTTTATCTCAATAATATGATATTGTTCTATTTCAAATTGAACATAAAACTTTGCATTTGAGAACTTGTCATTATTTTTTGAATGACTTGATACAAACAATGTCTTCTGTAATTGTGTTGGTAAATACAAATTTGTAATTTTCAAGTTTTAAGGAAAAATCTGAAAAGAATAAATACATTTAATTCACTTGGTATTGTTTTGCTTGTATCTTCCTATTGTTGTTCAGGACTGAAATTGATCAGCTAAGTAGATAACGTGATGTTGTTTAAAGCAAACAGAATTGGGTTCGAGTCCTCGAGCGAACATCAACTCTGAGATGTAAGTACACCCAGCTGACGAGTCCAAAATAGGACGAAACGCGCGTTCTGGATTCCATTGCTAGCCAACATTCATCTTTGATGATAAATACAGTTGCTCAAACGTATCACAAAAACAGTTGAACAAAGTCCTAAACCCATAAATAAAGAGATTGTTACAAAATTATATTGGATTAAAAACTGGATTTACCTATTTATCTGAAAGTCATAACAGTACTCGAATTATCAGATATAACCATTATTTAAGTAAAGATTAAGAAACGGCAAAGAGCCTGAACAGGAAGCGATCAACTTCTAGTGGTATGAGATACCTTAATTAGGTGTAAGTTTAGGTCAGATTACAGTAGTGTTCATATAAAAGATATCATTTATAAACATTTCTATTTCATTCAAATATACTGATCTGTAAACATAAATAAAGGTGTCTTTATATGTCAGTTACATGCATATCTGAGTATCTGATACCATAATTTATATTGGATATGATAAATCTAGTCATTTTATTTACGACAACTTCAAGTCGCACAATTACCAAAACCTTTTTTAACTACACTTTGTGTAGCAACACAGAAGTTCTACAATAAACTTGTTTATTTTTATGCTCAATCTAACTGACAACACAAATAACATTTAAACTTTCATAATCATAATAATGGCTTTATTCGATAATCAAGGATTTGATACTGTAAAGAATTCTCAGCATCAATGTATAATGTTACGACAAATATTTATTCAACGCACATTCAAATTGAAATTGTTCGAACCACATTTTAAAAATGTTTTATATAGTTAGTATCTTTCAACCCTGTTCAATCAACAAAGCTGCTACAACCATTTTCTTATCCACATATACATGGTGTTTGTTTCTAATACATTTGTGCATTGTTTTTCAAAGGATAGATAAAAAGAGAAGTATGTCAAGATCTGTACAACGTGAGTACATACAGCTACCATTTGAAATTACTCAATCCAAATAAATCTTAGATAAGTAGTTTGACTACAATATTTTCACGTTTGGAAAATAGGTTAACCAAGCCTTCGAGGAGACATCCATATTCTGTATCTAATTTTACAAATGCTAGGTGAATCTAGAAAGTCTATTTATATTTCTTTGAGTTAAGTAGTATTAAGTGAACAGATTTAGAGTTCTGGACATTCTTCAGACATCTTACACTTTATATTTCCGTTTTGTAGTTAACATGAAATATGAACTCTTGATTAACTCAGTCCAGATAGCCACTCACTTGTGCAACTGATAT